GATTAAAATTATATTTTTAGTAAATCTTGATAGAAATTTTTGAAATGTATTGTTAACCTATAGTTTTAAATATGGATTTTCATTGATATATTTCACGTTAATTTGGTGACATGAGTCAAATTGACGGCCACAATTAAATAGTCATCAGAAGTAAAAATAAAAGAATGCAAATAGAATTATTGACAATTGTGAATTAACATTAAAAAAAAAAAACCCAAAATTTTGTACTAAATATTATAAAACCTGATTGATTTTTATTATATAGCTTTTACTTTTATTTCGTCTAAACCTATTTATCCACGAAAATGTCAAGTAAAGGTGATAAAATGGTTGATCGGCTTCAGTTAGCCCCTCCCTGTTTGACAACCATTTTTATAAAAAAATTCTTTTTTTTTCTGAAACTCATTCTCAACAACACATTTTCATAATAAACTACTTTGTACGTAAACCAAAAATATTTTTCTACTTTTTAACCACATATTATATAAAAATCACTAATTCAAAATTCAATTTTTCAAAAAAAAAAAATCTTTATAATGATTGTCAAACAGGGGCTTAGTCTGCTTGCACTCAAACCCATTTTAGGTCCGTAACATGGTTGAACCAATAGTGTAAACAATTTTGCTACATTTACATTTTGGTAGACATTCCATGATGTAATATCATTGATTTTAACAACAATTGAAACAATCAATAACCTTGATTCCTACACATCATCAGATGTCAAACATGAAGTACAAGTAGCTTAATTGTAGTCTAAATGTGGTATGGGACTAGTCAATTGTCTTCAAAATTTACGTACTTTGTTGAGTTTAAACACGAGAAAATAATTTTATCGATATAAAATCACTTACGCAATTTGAACACATAATAAGCTTCTCTAATTCTATATTGACACTTATTACTCCACTCTCGTAGTACCTTCCTTGTATCTATTTCTCTCCACTCTCTATTTCCCATTCTCTCAATTCTCACACCTTTTTCTTCGCAAGATACATACAACAGACACTCGTATATATAGGTGCTGACGTCGGTGGCTGAAGGTTCCAAGATTTTCCACTTCAATCCTAGCTAATATTCTGTTAGCAAATTGGCCTCAATCTTGATCATCCACTTCATGAAAAGGAAGTGGTATTGTCTTTACAGCTCTGAATTTTCCAGCATTATTTAGATGCTCATTCTCCAACCTAGAAAATATTATATACAATTATTTACTTTTAAGTACCGGGATGGTGCCAAAACAGATGAAAGTCCGAGTTTAAGTCTCTATGACATCCTCATTTATGGAAACCGTGCACTTGAAGACATGTTTCTACCTGTAAAAATTCCATTGCCCTCTTCTAACAACTTCAAGTGCTGCTAAAAGTAGTCCAGTTACTCTGTAGTCTACACTTCCAAAATTGTAGGGAAAAACTGTTTGCAACCATGCTAGCCTGAGAATAAGGTTCAACCCCTGCACAAAGTAGCATATTTGTTCAAGATCATTGAAAAATGTAGATTTTGCTAGAAAGTCAATGGTTTTCATGTCTTATTGATGATCTGTATACTTGTATTGATGTTCTTTTAGTCCTGTAAGTATAAAGACAATCGGGTAGGTCTTATGAATTAAGTATTTGTTAGGTTTTAGTTGTATTAGCAATTCTTTAGACAAAAGAATTATTGTAAAAGAATAGGGATTGTTACAAAAGAGTTGTAAAAGTAAGGAGTCTTTTGGAGGGTTGTATAGATGAATCATGAATCTTTGGGTTAGATTATGGAACAAGAAGAAAAAGTCTCCAGATTTATGCTAGCATGTCGCCCTGATTCTCGAGCATTCAAAGCGGAATCATTGCCGCCCGCCTGTCGCCTGGCTCTCTCTCAAGCGACACACCTCTTGTTTGCCTGGAGCTCGAGCGAGGTGTTTTTTCGAGAAATCCTAATTTGCGTTTTTCAAGAGTTTTAACTATATTATACTATCTAAACATCTTCCTTTATAATACTCAATGCCCAATACGATTTTCGGGGTGGTTGATCATTGTTTTACATCCCTATATCATTATTCCAAGATTCAAAAACACATCCAAATATTTAGATTTACCTATTGATTCTTGAGATCAATCAACCACAAATTTGAGAAAAATATCAAATTCATATAATCCAAAACCCCACTTCGTAGATATCACCAGGAATGTACATCTCAGTAGCTTCCATTGTTGAAGATTGAGAGAGGTTGGACCAAAAGCACATGAAGAGTACAAGAACGAGACGTTCTTAGTGTTTCACAAGAGATAGAGAAGATCGGGAGTAGGTGTGAGTGAAGCACGTTCCACCAGGTTTTGGAGATTGCAGGAATCATATTATAAGTTTTTATTGTCTATAGTGAAAACTACTGGCTTGGTCCCGAAATTTTTACCTAGTTAAGAGTTTTCTCCATCATCAAATTTTGTTTATTTACTGCTTTAATTATTTATTTGCGGCAATTTAACATATGATAACTTGATTGACTAAACATCTAAAACAATTAAAAAGTGATTTGTTGCTTTTAATTGATAAATTTAATTCTGCATTATTCATCTATTATGTGATTTTTGGGTTGAACTAGTAACTTTCAATATTAATCGAGACTTTCGGGACCACGTAGTGTACAGTATGACTACACATGAATTCTGATCAAGATGAATAAATCCACATTGCGAGAGAATATTTTCTCAAATTTAAGGCTCAAATGCCTATAATCAGAGGGAAGAATCAGAGGAGAGGGGCATATGTACATTGGAGAAATAGTATATTAACTTTTTCTGAAGCATTAGTTCATCTCTTAGCCATTGATTCTTGGAATGAAACTGGAGCAAACCCCCATCCTTTACAAAAGGTATTTCTGGGAGAGATTTTCCCAAACCAAAATTGATTTTTGAGTCAAATCAAAATGTCCCACTATAGCCATCCTTTATACATGTTCTGGAGAAATGGAACTAAATG